GGGGACAAGGTCCGATTTGACCCCTTCAGCCTGCTAAAAACTGCTGCAGCTTCACTAAAGCACTGTTGCACAATTAACTAGGAGACAGCTTTGCTGCTGTTGCTGTGTATATTCAAACCATTTATGAGTTACGCCAACCCTAAGACAAACCCATCATGGAGTTTTCTTGGCAAGATTTGTTCAGAATGGGTTTTCTCTTGCCTTTTTTTTTTTTTTTTGAGACTTAGAAAGTGTGACCTTTCTAAGGTCAGCCAGTACATTGCCATAGCTGAGTGGATATTTGAACCCTGGTCTTCCAGCATCCTAGTCAAATCACTATACCACACTAGCTAGAGAAAGCTCCATGAAAGCTACTTCTAGCTCTTGCAAGCAAGAGTTTGAGATCATCTTCAAAATTGCATTTTCTTTAGATGTACGAGTGAGCAGTGTTCAGGTTTCAAAACTATTGTTGGACTACAAATCCCATCAGCCCTAGAGACTGCACAATGGTGAAGAATTATAGGAACATTTTGAGGATTACCTGATTCCCACCCCAAGTCTTTCTTAGCAATTGCACAAATTCATCAAGGACACTTTGGAGCACCTAGCCCAGAATGCATTTAGATTCAGAGTTCAGACCAAACAGGAATAACTGGGCATGATAGATTAAAAGTCATAGTTATGCCTATGGGAAATCTTCAGTAAATCTGCCTGCAACCACTAGATGTTGCTGGCACTCTGTACAGATTGGATATTTGGCTATAAACTGATTTCTAGTATAATTTTGTCTCCCCCTACTTCATCATGGTTCTTAGGCCAGCTTCCCATGCCCCACTACAACAGTTTGAGACTATTGATTCTTTAAATGAGAAAAATATTGTATCCCAAGAAATTGACACTGCTTTGGTACTACTATACCACCATCAAATTAAGATACTGGGTGCTTTTACACTGTAGAATTAATGTGAAACCCCTTTAACTGCCATGGCTCAACATTGGGATCATGGGATCATAGTTTTACAAGGTCTGTAGCTTTCTTTTTCCAAGAGTGCTGGTGTCTCACCAAAATACAAACCTCAGGATTCCATAGCATTGAGCCTTGGCACACTGATTCTAGAGGGTAGATGTGCCCAAGTCATTTTTGGCTAAGAACATTATATTTACAAATGCTAAGAGTCAAAACAATAGAAATTGTTTTGGTAGTGAATGTTAAACCTGAGGAAGCAAAGATGTTGTCATATGGTTATATAAGAAAAATTGAGCTAAGAACCTACCAAAATCTTTTTTAACTACATATATAAATAACTTCTTTGGAGAGAAAAATGTTGCTACATAAAAGACTCATGGCAGGAGCTAGCTTTGGTTTTGACTCAGAAAGACATTGTGAAATAGTGACACTTCCTTGCAAACTTCCCCAAGTCCCAGATTATATGGCATGTTGGGAAGAACATCTCATAAAATGATTTATTTAATGATATATCTCAACTTGATGATATGGCTGAAATACATATATAAATGAAGGAAGAGTTGAAATAAATTATATATAGTATAAATGAAGGGAGAGATAGTAGTAGAGATAAAGTCCCCTCATGGAGATAAGGCAGGTTATAAATAAAGTTTGTTATTATTATTATTATTATTATTATCTATAATATACTGTTCTCTTTCTCTTTCTTCCAAGTTTCCCACATGTAGGTACTGAACAGTTGCAGAGCTGCTTTGCTTCAGTATGATGGGTGACTCAGAAGCCCCATGCTTTCAGATAAATCTCTTCCCTGGAAAGAAACATATTAAGTTGCCTGGCCAGCTTAATCCCAGATGCATCCACTGACTTCTGTTTGGCAACCTCATTCCAAACTTTCACCTACCAACACCCAATGGCTTCTACCCAGGAATATCAATCCATCCATCACACTCATTCTGTGACTGGAAAGCAATCTCCACCACCTTAAGGACACTTGGCCCCATCATGGCTGCAGAGTCTGGATTCACCCATACATTCACAATTGCCTTGACCACATTTTTCTCCACATGACATCCACACATACAATAACACCCCAGATGATATTCCTAAAGGATCTTCTGTGATGGCTCCTGCCATGTTATGCCAAGTCCCAGTGAAGCAAACCACCTTAGAATCAAGCAAAGTTCCAACATTAATACATACACAGCTAAAGTCCTTTCAGGCTTATAGTTTTAGCGCACTCTCACCATTTGGAGTGAGATAAATTCCATATTCTGGACTTGAGTCCAAATTACCATGGTCATGCCAAGAGAGCTCCAAAGCTGATGCAGCAGCAAAGAGCAAACTGATTAAGATGGTCCAGGGAGGCCCTGCTCTCTGTCCTGCCTCCTTCACAAGTGTGAGTGGTGGGATCGAGAGAAAATACTTTCTCAGTGATGGCCCCTTGGCTATGGAATTTCCTCCCCAGTGACATTAGATCAGCCCCCTCCCTCCTACCCTTCAGAAGAAAAGTAAAAAAACTTGGCTGTGGGATCAGGCCTTTGGAGAATAGTGCAGTGCAATCAACAGATCTGGAATATATGGAATAACTATGGAACAGCTTGGACTATGACTATGGATGGTGTGATTTTATTATGGAATTGAATGTTTTTAAATGTTTAATATGTCTCAAATTTTAATCTAATTTAAAATATTGGAATTGTATGAATTTTAAGGCATTGAATAATTGCCTGTATGTAAGCCACCTTGAGTCCTGTTTGGGGTAGAGAAAGGCGGGATATAAATAGAGTAAATAAAATAAATAAATAAACCATAATTCCAATCCAAAATCAACAAAGCCAGCAATCCAAAGCTAGCAGAACCCGAGGTTAAAGCCAGAATCCAAAACACAGAAGCCACTGTACAGTCCAGAATCAACAAGGCCAATAATCTGGAATCCACAATTACACCATGAGGCTAAGATGTTGCCACCTGCAATGAGACTGAAACCTTGAGAACTTTTTATCCTATGCTCTCAGGTGTTGCTTCTGCAGTGCTCGTTTCTCTGCTAATCGAGCAGACCTGCAAGTTGCATCTGTAGTCTAATAGGGATGGAGCATGTAACCCTTCTACTTGCTTCTTTTGCTGGGAAGTGGTAGATACTGCTGAAGACTCCTCTTCTGCAATAACTAAGTTAGGCTGGGAGGGCTGCTGCGAGCTGCTGGTCTCCAACTCCAATACGGGCCCTTCCAACAATCCATCATCTTCACTGTCAGAGATGACCAGCACAACTCCAAACACTCTCCTTTCACTCACTGGCACACCTGGCTTCAATCCACAGGGAGGGATTGACTGAGCATTCATCAACTGACTTCTGCAAGATTTGTTGACTTACATCAGCAAGTTTCTGGTTGCAGAACCCCATTGGCTTCAGACTCACCACCTTAGCAAGTCACCTGTTTTCACTAGTGAACTTGCCTTCACATCCTGTTGCCTGAATAATCCTCCTTCATCCATCATTTGCCTAGTGTGCTGGACATCCACACTGGTTTCTGTATTAAGCAGCTCTGAAGTTTCCCAAACCAGCAAGACCACTTTAGTAATTGCTATTGCTGTGTCATAAAGCCTTGGCGTTACCAAGGAAACATGAGATTCAATTATTGGTTGAGCTCCAGTGATGTCAACAATATCTCAGAATCCAGGGCTTGAACCTCAACTTATGGCCTTGAGTATACTGGTGTAAATGTGGGTTGGCGAATACATTTGAGAGGTCTGATAGTGTACGGATCAAAAAGAGGCTGGTTGACTTCCAGTTAGTTCAAGAGTCCCCTCAAAATTAGAGGCTTCATCTTCATCTTATCTGGCCTTAGAATCCTGGTACAAAGCAAAAATACAATAACAAATCACAATGTACATAGACAATGCAGACTGCACATTTACATGTCCTTAGCTTTTGTCTCAGAGAAACATTTCAGATGGCTTCCTTGGAATAAAGTTTTTTTTTTTAACTGCCTTTCTGGATAGATTCTGTAGTGAGGTCTAGATCCTGATGTGCAAAGATATTGAATGTCAACAGGGTTATCTATATCATATTTCTTATTTCTATGCATGGTTGTTAAAGATGTCAGTGAAGAAAACTAATAGGAAAAGCATCAACAGATTTGAAATGTGGATATTGTCGACTGCTGAAAAGACCAATATGTCCAAGAGCAAATCAAGCCTGAGCTTTCCCCAGAAACAGAGATAACTAAATTGATACTGTTGTGCTTTGGACATACACATATCATGAGAAGACCAAACTTATTATAAATATAATAACACTTGGATGGAAGGTAGTAGGAAAAGAGGAAGATCATATTATAGGTAGATGGACTCAAGCAAGGACGCTATGGCTGACCTGAGTTTGCAAGAACTGAGCAGACCTGCTAATTCTCTATGGGCTTCTTTTTATTAAATAGAATTATTAATTCTCATGTGATTTTCAGGTAATAGTTTGTGTATTCTTGTTCTCTTAAAGTTTTTATACATTAGCATATGGACATTACGTGTCTTAACTCACAGCTTCTTAAACTATGGATCCTAATTCCTTAGCTTTTATTTATGTCATATCAAAAGCCTAGCTTAAGAAAAGTAGTAAAATAACTGTAGAGCATTCAAGTAAGTGAGCCAGCCCATATGCTATAAACAAAAGCATATTAAATTTCTAGATATTTTAACTGCACAAGTAGCATTGTGCACACCATTCAGCCCTGGTTGAAGCAATAGCAGAAGTGGCAAACAAGAATAAAAGGTTACGGACCCTCACGCTGCCTATTCCTTGAAAGCCTGGCTTCCAAGAAAGAATCACCACCACTAAACCAGGCAGTGGGGTTTCCTCCAACTGGGAAATCTTATGGCAAAACAACCAGCCTGCTTCCTAATATACAAACAGCTTTGCATTTTAGAATAATGTTTTGCTTTAACAGCTGAACAAAAAGAGTATGCAGTAGGTGCAGCTTTTCCTTGGCTGTTCGATGAGCTGCGCCTGCCGAAATGTCTGTCTTCATTTTGCACAGCTGTGGAAGGTCAGAGCCCTGGTCTATTTTGCTTTTGGTCCTGGAAGCTCCCATTCAAGCATGTGTTCTTGCTTGCTGTATCCTCCCCTCCTCTTCTCCCTCCCTTTCCCTGTGGCAGGAACATAAAGAAAGTGTCCCACTGCTGTTGATCCTTCTGCTCTCTCTTTCTTTGGGGCCACCCCTTAGCTTTTTCTTCTCTTCCGCTTCTTTTTCACCCCAGGTAAGTGTGACCAAGACTTTTCTCGCCACTCATATTAAAATGCTGCTGCTGTTTTCAGTTTTAATGCCATTTGTTTCTTCCTTTAAGCCTGATACGAGTGATTGTGTATGGGTGAAAGACTTCAGCTTGCCAATCTTGCTGGAGCTCCCCCTAAAAGATACAGATGTCAAGTGGATGTTTAAGGAAATAAGAAGGCAAACCAGAAGGAAACTGACTGTTCTCATGTGATTTGAAAGACTATATGAATAATGCTAAAGATTTAAAAAGTAGATTCCCATCGCCCTTCCACACAGCCCTATATCCCAGAATATCAAGGCAGAAAATCCCATATTATCTGAGTGTGGATTCAGATAACCCAGTTCAAAACAGATATTGTGGGATTTTCTGCCTTAATATTCTGGGATATAGGGCTGTGTGGAAGGGTCCTCAGTTAACTGGAACTCAAGCAACCAAAACAATCAAGTAACTGGCAATTTTTAAACTAAATTTGCATACTGCATTCACAAAGTAAAATGTGTTACATTAAGTTATGTTCATCTTTATTTGTTTTAATTTGCTTTTAATTACTGTACTTCAATATTAATATCAAGTTAATACAAAGTTTATGGCATGGCACAGTATGTGATATTGATTAGGCCTGTTTTTAAAAGTAACTCTCAGGCAACTAGAAACTACGTTTATCTGGCATCTACCAATCTGCCAGTTAACTGAGAACGTATTGTTCAAGGCAGGAACCTGTGTTGAGAAGAATTTGTCTCCATTTGTGACCCAAACCTGTTGAATTTATTATAAACCTAGAATACACCTTCTACGATCTCTTTTAACAGTGGTAGAAATAACCTACAGAATGTAAACGGGTGCAGATGTAATACATCTATATTTAAAAAATCAACAGTATACCAGTAAAGTTGTTTTCCTCTTCCAAGCATGAATGATAATAGAGGCCTACTGTATGTTTTTCACTCAAGTGGTTACATTTTAATTAGTCCTCCATGACCAATGTTACAATTCACAGTCAACGTACTTTGCCAATATGTCTTACCAAGCACAATTTGACTTGTTTCCAAGTAAATATGTACGGGATCCTGCTGAGAAATAGTCATATAGTGCGAGTCACTGTTTGCTTGTTTTGCAGATGCTTATCAAGAAGCAAGTCAATCTCTCGAGTAATTGCTATCATCTTTCTTTTTTCTGTCTCCATTTGTTCTCTTTCTCCTTTCTTGTTTTTTTGCGGAGTTTAAAATAACCGTGACTTCAGAGCAGGTGCTGGATTCATGGGGTGGCAAGGGGAGGGGGAGCCAGGAACTAAAAATAGCCAAGTCCTGAAAACTCTTGAACTCTTCCACTGAAAAAAAGTCCTTGTGACAAGGAGAGTGATATTTTTCACAATTCATCCCACCAACTGAGAGGAAGAACCAAAATGTGCATTTTTAAAACAGCAGCCTCTTTTTGAGGCCGATCAGTTATTTAAAAGCTATAAAAAGAAACCAGGCAAGGAGTTAGTAAGAGAAATTTTAATCTGACCTTGGAAGTAAGGAGCTGCAGATAACACAGCTGCCTGCAAGAAAAAAAAATTAGTTTAAAAAAAGAAAACTGACACAAAGAAGATACATTTCAAAAGTAATCACACAAGTATTTGTAAAATTTCAGTTTGTGTTTTTAGTTAATTTTAAATGCATTTAAAGGCCCTTCAGAGACACCTTGAGTAAAATTTCCCAGGTTTTATGCACATGGGATTTTATTGACCTTTAGGTTTTTCAAAAGTAATTCCACCATAAAAAGCAATGCAGTAAGTTACTCTTTAAAACTGTGCTGACTTACTGTGAAAGATCTATAATGAATTGCATAATAATTACTGTTCAAAAGTAATTGCTCAAGTTCTGTTTTATAGTACAGGTGTTTTACATTATAGCACTAGAGCAGTGGTTCCCAATCTTTTTTTGACCAGGCACCACTCCCCAACATTAGTACCAAAGGTGTTACAAATTGGTTTTTGGTCAACTTTAGATTCAGTTTGGTTATTTGGGATGCTGATTCAGAAAACTGCATTGGATAGACCACATCAGCTCTATTTTCTGATACATAACATATGCCATCCAGTAGTCGCCATCTGCTCGCCCACAGAAAACCATATTTAATTATCTAGAGCCGATGTGGGAGTAGTAATCTTTCATGGGTAGTCAGTCTCACTGCTCCCAATATCCCCGTTGCCTCAGCACTATGAGAGGGTTTCGCCAGACCAGTCGCTCTTGTTGCCGTGTGGTTTCGAAGCAATGGTATAGTAATGGTGAGGCGGCAGACCATATTTTCATTCTTGTGGACCAGTGGTGGTCCACGGATGACAGGTTGGGAACTACTGCACTAGTGGAAGAAAATTATTGTCACAGAATATCCTTTAAAAGGAGTACTTTAAATGCCTGTCATCCTCAGGGGAAGGCCATGGCAAACCCTCTCTGAAGAAATCTTGCCAAGAAACCCCTGTGAGTGGATCATCCTTAGGGTTGCAATAAATCAGAAATGGTTTGAAGACAAACAGCAAAAGTCGTTAGTTTTATATTAGAGAGAGAGAGAGCTTTAACTTTCTGATAAGAATGACATATACAAGCCAACAGCACAGTGGCTCTATACAAATGATTTGTAACGTACCATATATGGGTTGTAATTCTATTGGACTGTCAATAAATGAATACATAGACTGAAGCTGGACATAGGCTGAAGCTATATGTGCATAATAGTAAATGACGACATGTACGTTATAATGGGCAACCCTCAACGCTTCTTGGAATCTGCATCTGTTGTAGCACATGGTCTTTTGCTCTCTAGTGATGTGAGGCTGACATGCCACTGGAGCTCATTTCTTTTCCTCTTTGCCCCTTTCCTCTTTTTCCTGTCTGACTTCAGTTTCTGTAATTGAGTTAAAATGCAAAAGTAGTTTTTGCTCAATTAACTCATTACAGATGGGGAGGGAAAGTAGGCTCAGAAAAAAGCAAACTGCAACAGCCTAACTTAGCTTGTATGTTCTTCCTCATTCTGGAATCACACACTGATATAGCTTAGCCATAGGCATCTCAATTTTCATCTGAGAAATATTGAAGGATACAATTTTCTTTGGCTAGGATGTCTCAAACTTTAGAACCTTCCATTTGTAACCTTTCCAGATTTTTCCACTTCTTCCAGTTTTTATTCTTATTGAAGAAGAAAACATTAAAGAGGGGAAGCTGAACAGGTCAACAATGTCTTTATTTGGCATAGCTAAGAACCCTCCCCATAGTAAAGGCCTTTTGCTATGGACTACAAGGCCATTTGGAGGTGATGGGTGTTCTACCAGTCAGAGTTCTAGGAATTTCTACTTTGACATCTTTTTAACCCTTATTGAAGAGGCTGCAGTCATAAGATGACAAAGAGAGAGCTACATCAATCGCAATCTGTTGATTGCACAGCCAGCACAACAGGAGTTGGCAGCTAAGACCCTATCACACACAGAGAGCGAGAGAGAGACACTAAATCCAGCTGGGCCTACCTGTAGTAATTTGGAGTCGAGAGGAAAAGAATCAAGCAAGATGTTTTCTTTCTTGAATCAATTTTTCTAATGTTGTTTTCTGCATTTCTGAAATGCTTAGGAGCTTGAGGTATCTGTTTCATATGTTTAGGAATGTGAGGCTTAAGCTAGACAAAAGGCCCCATCTACACTGTCATATAATCCAGTTTCTTAATTCAAATTATCTGCTTTGAACTGGATTGTAGATGCATACAATCCATTTCAAAGCAGATAATCTGGGTTCAGATAATTATTATTTACATCATTTTTACCCCGCCCATATCAGCCCAAGGCATAATTATATGGCAGTGTGGATCCAACCAAACAGAGGCTTTAATTTTGTGCACCTACCTTGCCCTTTGCCCAGACTGATATTGCTTCACTTGCATTGCTTTATTGTCAAAATATTGAAACCAATTATCATTTTTGGCAATGAAAACTGAAGGCTCAGGGGAGCCATTTTGGATTAGGATCACCATTTGTGGCAAGAATTAATAGTCTCTGCCATTCTAGGATCTTTTTCATGTCCCATGAATTGACTCTTCAAGAAGCAAGAAAGAATGATCACATTTAAAATATTGTGTAGTTTGATGTTTAGAGGCATTGTGTAATTTAGGACCATAAAGTGGGGGACAGCAGGGGCAATTGTGGGGCAATCATGAGGCTGCAGAGGGAGCTATAAGGCTCTGTTACCTCCCATGAGGGCCCATAGTCCCCTTTCTCACAGCGTTTCCCTGTCTGCCCCTGCTTTCTCTTTGGCTCCTCTTCTGTTCTTCAATGAGGAGTCAGGTTCTTCAATGAGGAGTGTATATCTAACTCTGGGCTCCACTGCTGCAATGCTGCCAGCACGGAGCCCCACAGAGGTCTGCAGGAAGTAGCCCTGTGATGGGTTCCAGAGGACTCCGTGTCAGTAGAGGAAAGAAGCAGGGAGAAGACACTCATTCTCTGCATCTTATAAGGTCATTATTAGTCTTCTACGTAGCATCCGGTTTGCTAAGGAGTATCACCAATGTAACTTACATTGGCACAAACTTTTAGGTCACTTTTAGGTACCACAGTCACAAGATTACTATTCTCTAATTTTCACACAATATTTGCTTTTCCAGATAGTTTTGGAACCCCAGATGAAAAGCTCTAAAATTGAGCAATCTAGTTGGTTTTTTCCCTCAATCTTTCCTCTCCCCTAGCCTTTTCTAGTTTTCAATTACAATCAAAACACATAAAGAAAATTGCTGTGCCTAGGAACAAGGCAAACTCATATCCTTCTCCTTTGAATATTTTTATCAGTATCATATCTATCCCTAATTTGCAGTATGATTATACCATTGAGTTTTTGGTTTACCACCCACAGGAGAACAATTATATTTCAGTATTAGGCTTCTTAATTCACTTTACATAGTCTGTGTATGTATATGCTTTCAAGCCCCTGTCAACATATGGTGATCCCATGAATTTCATAAGC